TTTATCGGCTTTCACGATGATGTCCTTAGAGTTTTTGATCGTTTTGGTGTCTTTTCTCATAGTGTCTTGGAGGCTGTCTGAAACTTGGCGGAAGCTGACAGTTTCAGCCACGCCAATGAGGTCCTCTTCGAAGGCCTTCAGTTCATCGACTTGCGGTGGACACGTCCTGCTTCTGAAGCCGAAGCGTTCTGGTTGCTCCTCTTCGCGTTCCTCGCCATTGAGGTAGAACAAGGCAGCCCACCTCATACGCTTGATGACTTGCTCAATCCTGTCAATCAGACATTTCCGGTACTGCTTGGGTGAAGGTAGAGGGATGTTCTTCAGGGAATATCCCAGTTGCATTGGCCTTGAAGCGTCCATAGCTAGCTTGCAGTGTAGGGGTAGAGTGCTCGACTGGGTAAGGCCAGGAGCGTAGACAAAATCCGTTGATCCCCGAGCTGCAGAGAGTGCTCAATGTCAGAGACAGAGCTTAGTACATAGCAGACTCAGCGGAGGACGTTCAGGTTGGTTGTAACTCTGAGTTTCATGCCGTTAGGCAATCATCAGACAACTGATACTCTGGTCTACCCAACAGTATGCTTATAAACACATAGGGCCACAAGCATAAACAAATTTAGCGCTAAATCTGGTGTGAGGTATGGGGAGAAAGCTGGCGCGGGCCAAGGCGCGACCGTGGAAGGGCCAGGAGGGTGGCGGGCAACAGGCAGGTGTGAGCATGAAAGCGCGGAAAGAGGCGATGGGGAGGCAGTGTACAGCAGATGTGTGGGGGGTGCCAGGAGGGTGGCGGGCAGTGGCCCAGTGAGATCACTACAAGTAGGGAGTCGTTTGGTGACGGGCAGGCGTGAGCAGAGTGGCATCGCCAACAACAGGCCAAGGGATTGTGTTATTTTATAATAATGGGTGCTCAGGCAAAGTGCAGTACAGTACTTGGCGTCATGAAAAATACAAAAACAGCACTGAGCTCGCAAAACACGTATGGGAGCTGAAGAGCGAGGGAAAGCCGTTGACCATCACATGGAAGGTGCGGGAGAAGAGCCGATCATACAGATGTGAGTCAAAAAAATGCAATCTTTGTACCGCGGAAAAATTCCACATCCTGACTACACCCAAGAAGCTCCTACTCAACAAGCGGTCTGAGATGGTCTCGAAGTGCAGGCATGAGAATAAGTTCCGCCTCGCAAATTTCACACCTATCACATGAACTGACCAAGTACTGTACTGCACTTTGCCTGAGCACCCATTATTATAAAATAACACAATCCCTTGGCCTGTTGTTGGCGATGCCACTCTGCTCACGCCTGCCCGTCACCAAACGACTCCCTACTTGTAGTGATCTCACTGGGCCACTGCCCGCCACCCTCCTGGCACCCCCCACACATCTGCTGTACACTGCCTCCCCATCGCCTCTTTCCGCGCTTTCATGCTCACACCTGCCTGTTGCCCGCCACCCTCCTGGCCCTTCCACGGTCGCGCCTTGGCCCGCGCCAGCTTTCTCCCCATACCTCACACCAGATTTAGCGCTAAATTTGTTTATGCTTGTGGCCCTATGTGTTTATAAGCATACTGTTGGGTAGACCAGAGTATCAGTTGTCTGATGATTGCCTAACGGCATGAAACTCAGAGTTACAACCAACCTGAACGTCCTCCGCTGAGTCTGCTATGTACTAAGCTCTGTCTCTGACATTGAGCACTCTCTGCAGCTCGGGGATCAACGGATTTTGACTGTACATGACTGTATATGACTGTATATGACTGTATATGACTGTATATGACTGTATATGACTGTATATGACTGTACATGACTGTATATGACTGTACATGACTGTACATGACTGTACATGACTGTACATGACTGTATATGACTGTACATGACTGTATATGACTGTACATGACTGTATATGACTGTATATGACTGTATATGACTGTACATGACTGTACATGACTGTACATGACTGTATATGACTGTATATGACTGTATATGAATCAGAGTAAAACTAAAAATACATCTATGCTCTGCTTCGTCCCCGCGGCCCGGTCACCAACCGCAGCTCAGCACCTGGTTCCACGAGCAAGCGCTACGATGAAGCGACACAGACATGTAGTCTTGTACTAGATGTACTGTAGTCTATGATGTAGATCTACATACCGCGCCGGTGGTCATTACTGTAGCCTAGCTCTACACTGATTGTCGTGTAGAGTATACCCGTCTACTCGATCTACCTATCTATTGACAACAAGCAACACACCACATGCATGTACACAGGACACACTGACAGTGACCATGCCTGGTTCACACTAGACCAGTGGCAGTACCATGGCATGGTGTAGACCTCCTGAGGACCGGTACTCGAGCAGCAAGGAAATGTTTGTACATGTAGTAGTCCATCGGCCAAGTCTCAAAATCGAAAGTGGTGATGCACTGAGCTTCCAACTAAACGCGACCATACCCAGCACGTAGAGAATATACCAGAGAACACTATTCCGTTTGTTGGACGTGCCGAATTCAGTCCAGGGCGTCGATACGAAGCGTTCTTCGTCGCCGAGTTTTATACTGTGCGCTCCATTTGAGAGTGCACAGAGTTCTGATCGAGAGTTTTTTGAGCAGATTTTCAAATCTTTGAGGCTGTCAGCTGACAGCTGTCAACCCTAAATGGCACTTAGTATGTGACAGGCAATAGGTTTTGGTGCCTCCGTATGCCTTCTAATAAGTTCTATCTTCCTTCGTTTCACTTCGCTGCTTCGCCCACCACCTCAGGAGATGACAGCGTACCTGCACTAGTCAGCTCTCGCTAACCCTGTCCCTCTTTCTCCGTCTTAGCGCTCGTCATTCGTGTCCTTCTGCTGGGGCGAGCTTGATACTGTTGTGTCGTAGTTTTTAGGCAATAGTGGCTGTTGTTCGCGTGACGATCAGGATTTATGGAGAAAGACGACGACTCGCCAGGTTCCCATGCAGCCACAGACGGCGTAGCAATTCTTACCGCCAACCCTTCGAGCAACGGAACCGGCCCGAGTTGGAAATCGTGTGTGTGTAATTGTGCCACGATACGGATGAAACACACAGGCTCACATGTGACGAGATGAAGATAATCTCAACAGGCTGACGGAAATCCAACAGGCTCACGGGAACGCTGCAGTTATGGTCGGAGACGTGGAGTTATTTAGTCACTGGTAAATGTTGCATCGAGTGCTGTGTGCTCTAACACAATTGTAAAAATCATGAAAAAGCGAAAATAATGCAATGGTGGGGCTGAGTGGTGTTCTGTGGAGGAGACGTCGCTGTCTCAGTATTCAACGCCGAACCCTGTATTTCAAGTCTGTGGTCATGCTCGATCATAAGTTTCTGTATGGCTCCAGTGCCTTCTCAGCATTGTTGGCGGGTAAGTACCTGGATCGTGTCCAAGTACTGCGGCTCTGGTGGCTTGAGGGATGTACGGGTGCTCGCCGTGCACCCCTGCCGGCAACCTGCTAGTGAAGCTTGGTACCTACTGTGTCCGGGAGATTTTCATCCAGAAGCTGATCTTCCTAGGCTGGAGCTGCTGCTACTCCTGTGCTAGCCCTCTACCACTGGCGCTCCTACTCGGCTCCAGTGTGGGCCATTAACCACCCTGCCCGATTTCGCACTGTTGCTATTCCACACCGTCAGCATTTAACTCTGAGGTCAGACCTTGATCCCTCCCACCATATGCTATCTGTCTGTCTGCCTCTCTCTCACACACAGATGTGCGCGCATACACACAAACACACATGCACACACAGTGACACAAACATACACATAGCCAACTTCTCTGTGTTTGGTGATCATCATCTGTTTTCTGATGTGCAAGCTCACCTCTGATGCCGATTACTTCCTTGCTTAGACCCGGTCTGCTATTAGACCAGTCTGCTCTCCCTTCACTCGCTTGTAAATCCTACTTGGAGCAGTAAGGTTGTGTCACTGCTCCTACTGATGTCATTGTTGTGAAAGCAATATCATCGCCATTGGTGGTAATTTTCCACCGTGCATGAATCATTTTAAAACAATCATCATCTATGTGTCACGGCCTAACCATCCTCGTAACTCCCCTCATCGTGACTAGTGCTGTACCGTTGAAACCTACTTTGCTTCAGTGTATATTCGCTCCAAAGCTCTTGTTTTGTTGCATAGTGATCTGACGCAGTGTGCTATAGCCTATCGGGTAATATGGATAAGATTAGTACAGTCGGCATCGCCTATCGAGTGACCAGGTACATGCATAAGGATACTAGTACATGTATACCGGCTTAATGATATCGGAACACAAATAGCACTATGTGTGCAATATTCCTTTCTAAGCTCACGCTGTGCGGTGCAGATAGGTCATGTGTCGTTGCCAACTTGCCGCATGTGCATGTGCAGCAGGAAGGCACCACATGTCGACTACTACTTATACTGTACAGCATTGTGTGCTTACATGCATCTACGGCCTTGTGGATGCAATTGAGTCTCA